CAGTATTTTGATTAGTTGAAACACCCCAATCTAATTCTACCTTATTTCCTGTTTTAGAAACGGTGGAGCCTCAAAATGTCAGCATGTCGCAGGTTCTGAAAGCGTGTGTTATTAAAATAATACATCATTGTTTAATGGGATGTTTAAAATCAGAAGATAATGTGGATGGAAACAGTGAAACAGAACTTATTAACAGCTTATGTATTCGGCTTTCTATGCTCCATGTTCTCTGGGTCATCATCAGTATTACTGACAAAGTGAATAAATTATATTTCACCCAGGATACCTTTGACGATCTCAAGACATTCATACAGTGTATCGAGAAGAGTCATAAACCGCTGTCATTAATGTCAAAGATTGAAGCTGAATTGCCATTGGATCTGAAGAGGTTCATATGCCAGAATGTAACAGAAATTAATTACAAGCAACTGTTAAAGCTATGAAATTTATAATAAAATGTGTTTTACAGATCACATGTAATATGTATTATGTTTTTTTTCTTTTACTGACCCTCCTGTTTAACCTTGTCAGTTGTTAAACACAGAGATACAGTTTAATCAATGCTCATGTGATATTATTCATTTAGGATTTCCTGATGCTGGTGGTGGACCTGGCAAGTGTTTGCAAAAGGTGTGAAGAACTCACCAACTCTGATGTGATTAATTTGTGACATTGTCTACTATTCAAATGCATCTTTCCAGGTAGACAGGGTGGACAGTTTTGCAAAAGGTGTGAAGAACTCCCCTTTTCTGATGTGATTAATTTGTGACATTACCAGCGTGTATAAAAGTAGGGCCCATACTTGGCTAGTCATGTTTGCTGGTTTCAGGCATAGCCATACCTCCGGAACCATTTGATCTGCTAAGAAGAACCCTATTCACAATGGAAGCTACTATTGTAAGTAATTTTATACCTAATTTTGAAACACTTAGATGCAAAATGGTTTTTATAGTGTTCCTGTCTGCTTGCTTGCTTGCTTGCTTGATTGATAATTTTCTTTCACTAGAATGAATTGAGAGACTCAGAATGTTTGGCTATTTTTTTGAAATACTGACCCCTCTTAGATGTAAAATGTGTTTATAACATTCTTGCTTGTTTGCTTGTTTGTTTGACTGTTTTTTTCACTAGAATTGACAGACTCAGAATTTTTGAGGGCATATGAAAGTATTTATCTTTCATACTTTCATACATTTAGATTCTTATAAACATTTCTGCAACAATTCTGACCATTAGGGTTTTCTTTTCCTTCAGATTGGGAGGAGAATCAGCCATTCATGGAGCTCACTATTCCTGCAGAACACCAGAGGCCCCAGCATGACATGACCCCTCAGCCTTCCACAAGCCATACAACACGAATGATGTTAGGAGGTATAATATCTAGATTTTATCCAACTACAAAACTATTAGTATTATTTTTTTTAGAAATTATAGGTGTGTGTGTGTGTGTGTGTGCGTGTGTGTGTGGGTATTACTTTATTAGGAATGTTGGATAACTTTTTGTTTGTTTGTTTAACTAGAGCCAGCCTGCAAAAAAGCAAAAATGCATGGCCATGGACTTCCTGCATCCCCAGCAGGCAGTGTTAGTTGTGTCTATGATTGCCTCTCAACCAGAAGAAGATATATGTCATTGTATGCCCCCACTACAATCCCTAGCTCTGCAAACTCTCAGAATATGAACAAAGTTTATCTGGATATGGTGCAGGCATGGGAGAAACCTATCCAAAATTTCAGAGCTGTGGAATATTATCATCGATACAGATTTGTTAATCTTGACCGAATCCAGTCTTTTGTAGTTGCTATAGAGGCTATTCATAATATCTTACAGATTCTTTTGAATAATGTAGCTATGAACATAGGCCCAAATGATTTTGTTCAACTCCGGTTGGATGCAGAGGAGTTAAACCATCCCCTTTTTTCTCTTAGGAGGTGTGTGAATGATTTAAATGCTGATGATTTTCTGACCAGTGTTGAAAATCTGCTTCAAAGTAAGGCAGAGATATTGTGTGGGTGTGGGGGGGGGGGTAATTTACAATTAGTGGTTACCATCATGAAGAACAAGTAGGGGGAAGGACTTAGGAAGTTAAACACTGTGCTGCTCACCAGAGTACTAGAGAAAAAAAGACAGCACCTAGTAGATTTCAATGTGGAAGGTGAATTTCTTTATTTTGCTACCTGTTTGCTCTGTCTGATTGGTGCAGATGTTAGAAATCAAGAAATTATTGCCAGGGCCAGGAAACTTCACAGCAGACTGGGTATTTCCACAGAAAACAG